ACACACACACACACGCACGCACACACACGCACACACCCACATACACGCACACACGCGCACGCACGCACACACACACACACACACACACACACACACACACACACACACACATGGAACACACTGTGTGCGTATAAATATATATAGGTTCCCAGTATATTATATCATATTAACATCCATTTTTTGTACTATATAGTTTACATTATATATGGTATTAGTACAATGATACTGATCTTCTCTCCCAAGTAGTACGGACTTTCTTGGGGGGGGGTATTGTAGCCTATTCACTGTTTTATTGTTGTTGTTGTTTATTCAGCTTAGTGGAATTTTTACGGCGCTCACAACTGCATAAGGTCATATTATTATAATGAGTACCAAGGGGTGGATGTCAACAGAGAGAGAGGAGTCCATACAGGGAATCAGGCTTACGTCTCGGCGGACCTCTTTTACTTCAACAGCACTAAGTCTGCTTGACTATCAAGGCACCCCGGAAATAGCTGATCACAAGAGTGTGACAAACATACAAAACAAGAAGAGGAAAAATGACGATAGTAAGGATTGTGAAAGAAAAAGCATGGCAGCAGCTCCCCATAGCAGTTCGGGCACACTTATGAGCATGACATTAACGAATCAGCCCATTTACAATTCAACTGAGCATAAGAACATGTTAATGTCCCCGCTTTAGGAATGGCCTAAAGACACTTCAGTCAGTAGCACGGGGTCTTGTTGTTTCTGCTATTGTTAGAAGAAGAAGAAGAAGAAGAAGAAGAAGAAGAAGAAGAAGAAGAAGAAGAAGAAGAAGGAGGAGGAGGAGGATGATTTTATGCGTCACTGCTAGCTTAGCAAGTTTGTACCATTATTGCATGACGCTTTTTATATAACGAAGCTCTCCATTTTTAGAAACAGCAAAGGCATAAGGTCATTCAAAATGGCGACGTCTACTACAGTAATGCGTGCAGTCGGTCTCTCAACCCGATTGTCGAGATCACTATTGTCAAGTCGGTCCAGCAGGTTTGTGTAAATGTAGCGAACATTTTTACTGTCGTGATGGTAGATTTATCTGTCTAAACTTGAAGTACCTGACTTTTCTTAACAATTGGTCTGTCTGGTCAAGAAGTGCCTCACTGAATTTAAGTCTAAGTCCAACAGTCAGTAGACTGTAGAGGACAAGACAGCAGAGGACTCACTGAGACTGATGCAACTACACGTAGGCCTACTTTACGAGGACTCTCTCTCTCTCTCTCTCTCTCTCTCTCTCTCTCTC